AGAGTAATTGATTGAAACACTAACTAAATATGATGAGATAAGATATCAATTCCACCCTGAAAAATGACAGAGTAGGAATATTGTAATCCTAAGTACGCAAATTATGTTATCTCGTTATTATTTAAACGATAAATGAGATAAATTGTTTATAGAAATTAATTCAAACAAGTAAAAATAAAGAAATTAAGCAAGCAATTATTGATTAAAGAAATCAAGGATTCAAAACTACTAGGGGTTTTGAATTTTCACTTAATTCCTTTCCAATTTTATTTCATTAGTCCATTAATCAATTTAATTATTCCAAGTAAGGGGAAATAACAACTCTGGAATTCAGCTTACAAGCTCTTCCGATGTATTGCGGTTGGATTCACGTGCTAGCTATATCTTTTTAATTTCCAAATCTAATGTTACATTATCTTTTATCTCCTAATATTTACGCGTGCGAAATTTTAGATATCTTATTGTAAATTTAAGATTTCATTATTATTATTATTTATTATATGTTTGATTTTATAGATATGTTTACATATTTAGATGGTTGATAAGATTCATCTATAGAGAAATTCTGACCTCCTCTATAGTAAGTCTCACCATATAGCTTTTCTCAGCAATTCAGATTTATGTCATATAGCATACTAATTGTGGGTATTCTCTATGTATCACTTGTTTCAGATTACAATAAAGCAGAGTGCCTTCTTGCCGCGAGTCATAATGATGATAATTGAAATAAAATCAATCTAAGAAGAGAATTCTGCCTAGAACCATTAAGTTCATTAATAAATCATAACTTGAATAAGGAAAATAAATCTAATTGCCATAAAATTGGAAAAGAGATTAAGCTACCATCAAACCCCCTAGTATAAAGAATTTAGTTACAACATAGTACTTAAATAAAACTCAATCAATCTTGAATAAATATTCCATTAATCAATAAGATAATGAAAAAGAAATAAAACAAGAATTTAAGAGTTTTGAAATAAGAACTAGAGAGGGATTGGCTTGGGATGGCTTCCTTGGAACTTTGCAACAACTCCTTTGAGAGCCTAACTTCTAAAGAGAAAACAAAACTTATATACAAGCTATGAGACATTGGAGAAGAGATGTAGACATAATGGGATGGAATGGATTACCTTTGGAAGGCTCTTTCCTTATTTATAATAGACCTTCCTTTGAGGGAACAAGCCTTATGCTTTAATGAGGTAAAGTCCCAACCTTTTTGTGAAGTGGTAAAAGTTCTAAATCAAAGCATAAATTGCTCTCATTTAATGGCTTCCCAAATGCACAAGGTTAAGCTTTGACTGGCATGGTGAAAAGAGCATTCCAAAAGTGTCTTGTGAAATGGTAGGATTAAGTTGGCAACTTTTGGACATTAAATTCAGAGGTTTTCTTGCTTGGGCACGAACGTGCTGCATGGCAACGGCCTGGGGCGTGCCAGGCTCCTGGAAAGCCTACGGCTCTCAAGCATGGGCGTGGCGTTCTGGCACGGGCAAGGCCGTGCACTCTCGCTTTGGGAAGTCTGGTTGATAGCGCGCACTGGGGGACTACAGGGCCCGTGCGGGGATGGCACGGGCTGAGGCTGCATCTCTCTGGAGGTTGGAACTTGTGTAAGCAACGGGCGTGCTTCAGCTGCACGGGCGAAGTCTCATAACTCCCAATGGCGCGCACGGGCAATGCGACTCAGCATGGGCCTGGGGCGTGCGTGCCTCTGGCTTTTTTGCTTGTTTTTGGGCCTTGCGCTAGGCAACCGGCCGTGCACTTAACACGGGCTGGGGCATGCAAAATAATTTTTTGCCTTTATTTTTGTTTTCTTTCCATTGGCAAAAATTCCTACAATTTTTCCTCCAAAATCAAGTGAGTTGTGTTTCCAGGAAGCTTTTAAATAAAAATATAACAATATTATAATAAAACTAATTTAGATAAGATAAAATATACTAGAATTCCTTAGTGAAAGTTACAATAAACACTATAAATTAGTGCCTATCAAAGATCTTGAAAATGAATTTTCTTTTTCCCAAGAATTTAAGGATTATATAACGTACAATGAACAATTCTTATATGGGTTTGGGTTTGACAAGTTCATAGAGTCCTGAGAATGAATGAATGTTTTGAATTTGAAATACAAAAAATAATTTATTATTTCAATAAATTTATACTCAAAACAAAAATTAAAACCTGACAATCCTTTTCATTATTTATAGTCAACATCCTTTCATTATTTTTTTTTTATTCACTTTAGATTTTCCAATCATTAACTGATTTATTATCCAGTTACTACAAACATACTTAAACTAAAGAAATCATTCCCCTGTCCCTCTTCTTTCTGCATCCAATCCAATCATTCTTCATTCTTCAATTCCATTTGCAGCTTTTTACCATATAACAAGAATGGTTGATCCGATTTTTTCTCCATATTATTTCTCTTTTAATTACTAGCTTACTTTTTCCTACAAACCCTTTGTAGCAGAAACTGATGATTTCTTGCTTAAAATCCATCAAAGCTTCCATTGGAAGATCCCAATGGTTTATTTAAGCTCATGGAACTGGTCAACAACGATACAGAAGGCAACATCTGCAAATTCGTCGAGATTTCTTGCCTGGCTTGTTTAATGAAAACTGGGTTTGAATTTGCAAGCTTCGTGGTATGGGGACTCAAAAGGCAAATTTCGCTAATGGAATTGAAAAAGTTGTCACAAGCTTAAAACAGGTCCAGACCTTTATCCAACAATAAACCTTCAAAGGAACAATTCCTTCCGATATATCAAAAAGGTTCATTTTGTTACAAGCCTTGATCTTCTTCTAACAACTTTTCCGGTTAGATTCAACGGATATTGCCAATTTCTCTTATTTGACTTCGCTTAAACTTGAACACAACAGTTTAACAGGTCAATTCCTGAAGCGAATCGGTAGAATCTAGTAGGCTAAGGACTTTTAATGTTTCTAATAATATGTTATCAGGGACAGTTCCAAATTTTTTTCAATGCTAAATTTTCAGCTGATACACTATGCCTTCTAAACAAAGGGACTTTGTGGAGGGCCTTTGAAAAAGATGCCAGAAACAGTTCCCAAGTAATTCCGATTTAATTATTCATTTCAAAGATGGTTTGCTATTGGTTATGTGGTTTCTCTAATTTCAGCCTATGGTGGTTTATGCAATCTTATTGTATCCATGGGTGAATATGGGGAAAAGGATGGATTCAACAAAATACCAAGCAATGGTGGATGATGATGATTGTCCCAATAACAGCTGTAAGTGAGTCAATATCAGCTGTAAATTATTGTATATATCTTTACTAAATTGCTATAATCTGGTATTTAATAGTGTAATCTGGGGATTTATTGGGGATGTAAATATGGGGATGTGATGTGCTTTAAAATAGGAATATTCGTAGGCTATCTCCTTGTATAAAATGTATATGATTACAGAAGCATGAAGATATACAGAATTTTCTCCAAATTCTTTTTCTTGTTATGGTATCAGAGCCTTACGAGATACCTCTCTGTGTTTTCTTGTCTAGATAGTTTCTTCACTTGTTGTTTTGTGTTTTTTTTTTTTTTTTTTTCCCTTTTTTTCAATATCATCTTGGTTTTCTAATCATGGAAAAATCTGACGTTGTTGCTTGCATCAAATTCACAGGCAAGAATTACTTTGCTTGGGAATTTCAATTCAAGATTTATGTTCAGGGAAAAGACTTATGGGGACATGTTGATGGTTCGACTAGTAAGCCGACGGATTCAACTAAAATAGCTAAATGGGAAACAAAAGATGCTCGTGTGAAAAGCTGGTTGTTGCAAACAATGGATCCTTCCATTGCTGTCAACCTCAGACCATTCAAAACAATGAAAGCGATGTGGGAGTATCTAAAAAAAGTGTATGCTCAAGATAATTCAGCTAGGCATTTTCAACTGGAGCAAGATGTGTCCACTTACACGCAGGGAAATTTGTCAATCCAGGAATATTATTCGGGTTTTGTTGCTTTGTGGACTGAATATACTGAGATTTTATATGCTTCTATTCTTGAAGCATCTTTGGAGACAGTCATAAACCTTCATCAAACTAGTCAAAGAGATCGTTTTTTGATGAATCTCAGATCTGAATTTGAGATTGTCAGATCCAATTTGTTGGCTAGGACTAACATTCCATCTTTGGATGATTGTTTGAGTGAATTGCTTAGGGAGGAACAACGTCAAAAGACGCAGCATGCCTTAGAACAGCAAGGCAGCTACAGCAAGGCAGCTTATCCAATGCAAACATCAACAAAATAGATAATAACGAATTAATAACTAAAAAATACCAAGAAAAGTTTAGATAATTACCTAACCCTCAAATTGAGGATTGTG